GAATAACTTATTGTCAACATAATTATGGAGTGTAATTTATTTTCAACTCAAAATATCTTCAAACTAACGAAATATAAAGTTATTAGGGAGGAAAACCCGTCTGGATAACAGCAGACTGACTGCTCTTAAAATATACGACAGGTCTGGACCACTCGTAAATTTTGTTCATATCTGAAAAAAATCGTAGAATACGAAAACATTGGTGAATGCCACAAATTCTCCTAAATCACTCGTACGCACAACTTAAGAACAAATCTGTGCGTACGAACGGTTCTTGCATGAGGCCCAATGGCTGTAAAATTCTATCAGGATTGATAAATGAGTACCCAAATTCAGGCTTAACCAACAATGAGGACAGGACACGAAAGTAGAGTTAGGGGAGTTTATTTACAGAGAAGTGGGTTGTCAGATCTCGTCAAGGAGGCAGACTTGGTGAGGGAGGCTTTGGAGATTCCAGCAAGGAGAGTTCAGATGTCACAGATTGTTGTCAGTCAGGTCGCGTCTTTGCAGGTAGGGGAGAGTGAGAGGTCGGTGGATGTGGAATTTACTCAGAGAAGGGTTCCAGAGTTTCCAGCATGAGAGAGGATCACAAGAGGGTTTGACTCCAGGTAAATCCACAGAGAATTCTCAGGAGCGTTCCAATAACAACTGAATGTTCCAGCAGAGGATGGATCACTCTCAAGGCTTTAACTCGTCAGCAGGATCTGGGACAGGTGAGTGATTGAAGCTCTGCCCCTGTTACTCAACACTGCTTCTGATGGAAGGAAAGGAAGTCCGCTTTGCACCCGACTACAGAATGGCAACACGAGCTCGGCGAAAAGAATGTTATCCTGTTATGGAGAAGGCTCGGCAGGCTGGTTTCCAGGCTTTCCTGCTCTATCCGGCCACTATCAGGGTATCCAACGGCCATGAGCACAAGTTCTTTGGAAATTATGAGAAGTTGGAATTATTCCTCAAACAACAAAGTGCTGAGTAAAAAGACAAAGTGGGTTTCGTTTGACTTTCTCTAATTATTGTGGGCAACTGTGTCAAATAATTAAAGTGCCAATTTTATTTATGTCTTTAAATCAGCGTTTATATCTTGGATGATGAAAATAAGTCTTAAAATGGCTGAATAATACCCTTTTAAAGTTAGCTGCGGTGGCCATTTTGATTTTTTGATTAGCATTTAGAGTTTGGTAAAGATTGATTTTGGCTACTTCTACACTGCTTTGTGTGTCTAAAAATGGCTGAATAATAAGTCGTGACTTATCCAGCATGTTGTTTAATCATTTCACACAAATTTTCAGCATAATATTCCTTAAAATTTCTGAATTAAAGCCATTTGGATTTAGCTGTACTGGCCATCTTTAATTTTCACATCCAGAGTGATTTTCTTTATTTGTATGTGGCCCCCTAAAAAAACACCCTGGCCGCCCCTTGCACCAAACGAAGGTTCCTCAGAGCTCAGTGGTTTCCACAATTCCCAAATAAAAGAAGAACAAGAAATTCAAGTGCAGAAATCCTTAAAAGTTGTCCTTCTGCACAACTGGCGAATGTCAGCATGTCTGCTTTTCTGCATAAACCCCGCCCACTTCCAGTTTCTTACCAATCACACTATAGTTGTTGGTGTGTCGAGAACAAGCTGTGAGAACCTTTTCTGTGAGAATATGAACTGTTCAAAAACCAGAGTGATTCTCAAGAAAATCCTTTTCCATAGAAAACTTGACTTGAACCTTATCCAGTATCTCTATCTCAGGCCCGGTTCCAATACTCGCTCCTGTATGAAGTGTACTCAGTCAAAGTGCACATAAGGGTTTGAGTGTGCAGGTCAGAAGCAAGCAAAAATCAAAAAATTGGGTCCCAATTTTTTTAAAATTTTTGCTGTGTGACTTTTTTCTGTGTCCCGTCCCAATTATTGGGACAGTACACAGGTTATGTCGTCCTTTTGTGCCTCTGAGTCGTAACTGTGACATCAAAAATGGTGTGACCAGTCGCTGTTTTGGCGTTTGTACTGCTAAAAACGATAGTACAACTACAGCAAGTAATTGTTTTTAGGAGAAGAATGCACATGGACCAAAGGAGGCTCATACACCAGAGTATAAACCTCATTCTTCTATAAGTTCCTCTTCTTTCATTTTCATTTCTTTTATTGTTTATTTGAACAGGGACAAGTGTCAAGTATTAATACTATACACTGCAACATTTATAGTCGGAGCTAATTTGCAATGCCCGTCTCTAGATGGGCTTTGATTTTATTGGCGGTTGTCGGACTAATCTAAGTGCATTACTGCCACCACTAGACTGGAAGGTGCTCGGTGGACATTGACACATTTCTTCCTCTTAATTCAAAACGTCATATACAGTGATGAAGTGTGGGGAATACACGTCGCCAAAGTCCACTTGGATGCAGGCTTAGCTGAAGTGTGGATAAGGGTGCAAAGGGGGCGGGGCCAAAGACCACTCTGGAGAACTGGGACACACCTCTCTTGAACCTGTCAGCAGGAACAAGCATTTGAAGTACACAAAGGGTGGAAGTGTGAGTACTGGGATCGGGCCTCAAAGTACTGCAGCTGAAAGTACTTCTCTTCAGGACAAAGTAAAGACTGAGTACTTATTGGAACGTCAGATGTGTTTTTTTTCCTTTTTAAAAAATGTACACTTGTATGAAAATTTGCCATCATGAGGTGAGTAGATTATTGAGAGACTTTTTAAGCAACATAATACTGAGTACTGTCTGAAGTTTGGTTCCTGTCACTTAAAACCCAACAAAGCTAATGTAGCAAAGTGATTTTCAAGCCTCTCTGGAAGAAGATCCTCTTTTCATAAAAAAAGAACAAGATTTTATCTCAAAACATCTTTATTTAATAAAAGTACCTTTTATATTGGGTCAAGTAGGAAATTACACGTTACAAGTCTTTTGTTGGACAGAAATTTGTGGATAAAACAAAGTATATAACACAACAACAAGAACAGTCACTGAAAAAAAAGAAAAGATTGGGATAGCAAAATAAACAGGTTGACACAGACTTTCAGACAGGAAAAACTTTGATTTCCTGCCAACATGGAAACGATGGAAACTTGTTGCCTGTGACTTTTGTGAGCAGAGAGGATGAGAGAAGACCAGGGGTGAAGTCAGTAAAGTGCACAAAACCTCAAGTTTACCAGCAAAAAGGGAAGTCCTGGTGAGATCTGCTCCAGCTGCAGAGTGCTCAGTTTGTGAGGAAAACTAGTTATCAGAAAAAAAAAAAAAACAGCTTAATCAACTGGTTTAGTTTGTCAGAACTTTGAGGCAAAGGAAAATATATTTTCAGAATTCTCCCAAAAACACAGAAAGCCAGGGAATATTAAATTATTATTATTATTTTGGTGAAATACTACAAATAATATTTGGATTTGTCTTTTCAACATCACTTTCATGTTAGTGAATTCAATTTTCAGGCCTTTTTCATCTTCTTTCAGCTCCTCGCAGTATTTTGAATATTTTTTGAAAATGCTTTTTTGTTTAAATTTCCCAGTCCGCTTGATTCTAACAAAAACGTTGAAAAACTCCTGTTGCTCCACAAGGTGGCGATAAGACCAGACGAACATCATTAAACTACAGAGAACAAACTCCTGACAAGATTTTTTTCTAAAAACAAACCCAACACTTTTTAAATGTCACTAGTAATTACCTTCAGTAACAACCTTTTCAGTTGAAAGTTTAATGGCGATGAGGTTACTGTCTGATGAGATGGACGAATCAAAACGGCTAAAAAGTTTTCAGTTGTTCAGGTTTCTCAGATATGAAGCGACAGGAAACAGATTACTGCATCTTTGTTTCTGTAAATCTCCATGTCTCCAAACACAAAAGGTCACTCTCAGAATAAAATTATCTATTTTTAAAGCATCTTTTCTAGGAATGGCAAAAGATCATAATTAAATAATTCATAGTAATATAAATGAAAACATTGCATCTTTCTTTCATACAACTTCATGTTAAATCAAAAACACAGAATCTCTCACAGCAGCCTGTTTGCCCACCTATAGCTACGGAAACAACAATGGAGCCACTTTAAAAAAAATTTTCTCCATTGTGTCGTTTTATCCAGATCCTGTCACCTTGATCATGGGCTGAAAAGATTAATATCAGAAGAAACTGTGAAGTATTTTAAAAATAAATGTTTTCAGACTCTACGCAAAAGATTGTTCATGTATTTTGTTGTGAACTCTGGTGCCATTTAGTGACACAACGTGAGTATTTTTGTTAGAGTGCACTCAGCTTTTTTAAAAATTATCCCCATATGTTGAAGATCCAATTTTTCTGTTTTGTAATCTTTACCTTCACTTTTAATTAAAAGATGAAAAAAATTAAAGTAAATCTTTTTAGTGCAGTTAAGTTATGCAAACTTTGAGTTTCAGCTCAGCTAGTTAGCTTAGCATGACTGTAAACAGTTCAGTTGAAAAATAGTGTAACAAAAAAACCTTTTAGCAGAATATCGAGAATTTGTTGTTAGACTACATCTTGTTCGTTTTATTGGCATTAAAAAAGTTCAAGTTTATTCTGCCAATAATAATAATAATGTGCTAATATTACCGTCAAACACTAAACGAGATACAATTAAGTGACTTGTCTGCTGGTCATTTTCTGAATTAACTGTTTTATTCATAAACAAAAGAAAAGTATGATTTCGAAGCATGTTTGTTCAGGATCACATATGTTTGAGCCACACAAGTCTAAGAGAAAATGACATTTTTGCAAAGGTTTATTTTTATTTTTTAAACTTTCTTCACTTACGTAAGTAAACAACGTTGGACTTCTATTTTATCACTTTCTGCATCATGTAGGTCAACACAGAACTAAAACTGATCCAGAAATGTCAAACTAAAAGTCTAAAAATGAGCTGCAAGTTTAGACACAAAGAGAAAAACTGAACAAGTCAATTAGGAAATGGTGAGGAAAGTAGGCTGCTTTTCTTAATTTTGAGACCAATAACCAAATTTGGCAGAAAAAGAAACATAAAATCAATAAGTCAGTCTGGGTTTATGGTTATAAGGTGTTATTTATCACAAGAGTTTAAAATATACAAAGACCACAAGGAAGAGGAAACACATTCAAATGTCTGGATTAGGTCTGGTTGCATCGGCCTTAAAATCTAGTTGAGAACAAAAGGAAAAAAAATTCGTAAAATGTTTAGCTGCACACCGTGGCAAACTTATTTCAAACTCTTTGGCAAGAACAATCGGCAAAATATACATATACAATATAACACAGCTCATTCATATAAAACTTGAAGTAGAAAAAAAGTATCAAATTTTATGCCTCCTGCAGTCTGACATTTTACAATAAAATGAAAAGTTTTTTTTAGCCAAAAACTCTATATGGAAGTGCTACAAAAACTTAGCCTTTATTTACACAGCAAGAACATTCAGTTCATTATAACACCTATCAATGGCTTACACATCCCGATTCCACAGATTCCAGAACAAAAAGAAAAACCTTTAAGGTACCACTTGGAAAGGTGACCAAGATTGTTGTTGTTTCTGACTGAGCCATTTGTTTTGGTGTCCACGTCACATAAAATCGATCAGCTCCGCCTCCAACGCGGCGGCCATCTCGTCTGCCTCGGAGCTGCTGCCTTCTTCTTCGTTGGAGTCCTTGGAGGATTCAGCAGAGTCGTCCCCTCGTTTTTTCTTTGCATCGTGTCCGGCCATGTCTTCTTCTTCTCCCTCCTCCTCTTGCTTACGTTTGTGACCCCTGGGAAGGTGACAAAAAGGAGGTTTAGTTGAGAAGCTGAGAAACTAAGCTAGAATTAAAGCTAGCAGAATTGTAATTACAGAAGTTTAGTGGACTATGGTCTGGATTATTTGGACCATCAGTGTGTGAATGTGTGAAGTGTAACGTGCTTTGGGGTCCATACGGACTTGATAAGGCGTCAAATGAGTTCAAGCCATTTACTATTTCAAGATATTTGCATCAGCTGTGTATAGAGTATATCCTCTTTTAGAAACTAGCGGAGCAAGAAAATATCAATACACAAATACTGCAATATTTCATTTCCAGATACTGTATAATCTCTAAAGCACTGCATTGATTTCTAAATAAGGTTTAAAATGTAAAGGCCCTATCACACTAGACAACTTACGCCAACTTAGGAACATTTTAAAGGGAATTGAAAAAAATCAACAGGAAGCTTATTTTTGGCGTGTACATAATGTAATTCTAACAAATAGATCAAATATACAACTTTTGTTAGCAATTTAGACATGAAAATGTTTAATAAGTTGGCATAAGTTGTCTAGTGTGACAGGGCCTTTAACTTCAATGCCAGCGGTTCATTTTTGTGTCATAGTTTAGCCTCCGAACATTAGTTAGCAGGAGTCAGGCATCCTAAAGAGCCTAAACGCTAGCTCAAACGTTAGCATTGTGTGTAAACATTAGCACTAAGTACCGATGGCTGAATCTGAGCGGATTAGACTGACACCTGCTGCCCTTCTAAGCTGAGGTAGGGTTGCCAGTTTTCCGAGAAGCAGGTCTCTGTTTGACTTTTGTGGGTGTAGTTTGTTTATTATTTGAGTCAGTGTTCTGTTTTAAACTGTACAAAGACAATCAAAACACCATTATTTTACTATTACCATTACTTTCTCTGTACGTTGCCCCACAACACAAGTCAATCCGACAAATCACGTTAGAGAAAACTCTGCTCACAGAAAAATATGTAATGCAGATGCCCCTACTTGAATTGTCCCTTATCAGCTAGCATGTAACACATTTTAGACGTGTCCTGTATGTAATACTCTCCTGACTGCAGTCAGCCATCACATTACAACAGGCAGGAAGGCATTTTGTCTAGCACCTGGAGCTGAAGAGGGTCCCGAGGGATGCTAATGAAGTAGCCAAATGACCATATGAAACACTGAGGTCACTGAAATCACTGTCATACTCAATCTACCCCCTTAAAGTAGACATAGCATGCTTTTAAATCCCTCCGTTTCACATTTAAATCACTCAGTTTTGGTCTTTATAAAGTGGAACTACAATGCTTTGGTTCAAATTCCTCCTTATTTTAAATTTACCAACCCCTCTTTCAGCCCTCTTCTGCTGTGTGCCTAAAAGCAGTTGGTTTTGTTCGTGTTCCTTTAAGAAGCTTCAAGCCCCGCCCTCTCCTGCTCCCAGACTGGTCCACTCCAGTTTGAAAAAAGGGGGGTTATTTTCTAGCAACCCAGAATGAGAGGAGAATTAAGACAAGGAAACTGTAGTTGGTAAGTCCAGACCTTATATGGTAAATCCATCGCAGATTATTTGATGTAATAGTTCAGAAAATGTCATAGAAAACAGAGAACCCTGAATAGGCTGGGAAATCTGACCCAATCAGGAAATAAAGATATCTCTGCAGCACCAGGAGAGACTAAATTCAACTTTTCTGCCTCCTAGAGACCAAGTATACAATAAAATGTATTGAACAGCTAAAAAGGTGAATTTTGCAGGATACGTCCCCTTTAAGGTGCCCCGTGACAGAAACAGACTGTAGCAACTTCACTTGTTTTAGTCACTTCTTTTTTTTAAAATGCCGTTAAGTTCTCAAGCATTTTAGCAATCTGAAAAATTCCAACGGTTCCTGAAAGCCAGGAATCTTGGTTTTTCTCTGATAAGTCTTTACGGTAATATCACGTGACCGGTTGCAGTAAGCCCACAAAACAACCTCACCCTCCTCCAAAGACGCTTGGTGCAGAGTGTAGTGAAAAGCTACGAGCTTAACAATAGGCTTGATTAGCTATGAACAATAGAGCTAATCAAGCATATTGTTAGTAGATGGCCCTCTTTTGCATGTGACTAACCTGTTTGTTGATGTGGAGGCAGTGCTTATAAGGCTGAGTTCACCTGAAACTCATCAGACTGAAGAAGTCTCTTGGAGGAGAGACGAAACGTTTCACTAAAGAAGAACCCATCCAGAGGACCTACTTATTTTTTCTTCATAATTACTATACATCATATTTTCAAATTTCCTGTCAACTTTAACATTTTTTTAACAAAAACATGGTGGGCCGTTAGTGGGCTGCCAATGTGGCTCTACCACCAGGCTTAGCTGGTTTTCTGGGGGAAACCCTGAACATGGATGAAATAAGAAATATGAAACATAAAATGCATAAACAGTTTTTAAAATTAGAATTTTTTAAGAAAAACTGCAATATTTCGTGATTTATCACATTTTGACCTGTGTCATATGCATCATATCACCAAATTCTTGCAAATACACAAACCTACTAGAAACTCTGTTAAAGTTTCAAATGTCTGAAAGACTTAAACAGAGTTTCCTAAATAATTTATCTTTAATTTGGTGAATTCATCTTTTTTCCCCCCAACTCTGATTGGTCTTGTAGCCCCTGCCAATGAAAAACCACCCTACAGCATGAAGTTTCCACCTCTGTGCTTCATTGTGGGAACAATGTTCTTTCGCTGTGTTATTTATTTATTTATTTATTTTACTGTATCCTGTCCGGCAGTGTGGAAGTCAGAATTGATGTCTGAGTGCCAAGGTGAGGCCCAACAGTTTTACTTTCACAAGCGGAGCATTATGGCTTTCAACATGATGCACCATTGATATTTATTTAAACTTTTACAAATTCGTTTGGGATTATTTCGATATAACGAACATGGAGATGGAAAAGAAAATGGAAAAGAAAAGAAGAAAGGTGAAGAAAATGGGAAAGAAGGGAAAGTAGAGAAGAAGAAACAATGTTCTCAGTATGAGTTTGAACAAGATGTGTTGTCCTTGATCTAAATGTTACCCGAACACCTTCTTCCACCTTTGGTAAGTCTCCAATGTGTCTATTGGTAATTTGCTTTATTTGTTTGTTTATTCTTTACGCAGTTTTCTTTTCCCGACTACTCTTCCATGAAGCCTAGCTCCGCGCAGCTTATATTCCTCCTATGTGGCAACAAAATAGCTGCACAGGGTTAGTTTTGGTCTTGATTGCTTCTCTGATTAATGCCCTCCTTCAATTTTAGAGGAAGACCCACTCTTGGCAGGTTTGCTGTGGAGGCATCATATTTCCATTTTTACCTCCGCCAAGGGGCGAGGTAATGTTTTCGGTCGTGTATGTCTGTCTGTCGGTCTGTCTGTTGTTCTGTCTGTGGACAAAATTACTCAAGAACCTGTGGACAGATTGTCATGGCATTTTTACCACATGTGGGTATTAGCCAAAATAACATAACATTAAATTTTGGCGAGGTTCCGGATCACGATGCGGATACAGGAATTTTTTTATTTCTTTTAACCCTCTGAGCTCTAAAGCTGTGATGCATTGACAAGGCTTCAGTTAAAAACTGTGAGAGCTTTCAGTGTTCATTTGAACTGGATTGAACAGCAATTTTATTTACTTCCAAATATTTTTTTTTGCCATAATGTGCGCATTTTTACGCATTTGGTGCGCAATAAGAAAGCATTGTGTGACCAGTAAGTGCGTGACTGCACCATGAAACCTATTTTTCCCATTTCTTCAAACACATTACATTTCCGAAACAACCAGTCAAAACAGTTTTTCGGTACTAGGCTGGTAAACAGAGAGCTTCTGGCGGGCCTCAAAGTTTGGACACGGGAGGAGAACAGATTCATTTCGGCATTTTGGAAGCTAGCGGGTTAGTTTTCAGACCAGACAGTGTGTGCGCCAAGTGGGAGGAGGTAATGTTTTAATGTTTTTTGGGAATAACAGGACACAGACAGCGGGAGGGTCCAACTGCAGCCGCTGGACTGTCCGCAGGAACAGCTGATCAACCTGGTACCCCCTCCACATAAGAACTTTATTGTGTGATTGCTCTGAAGTTTGTGGGAGTGTTTGTGCTGAAAGCGCTCACACGCTGTATTTTGCTTCTCGCTTCAAAAAACAAAAACAAAAACAAAAAAAAAAACAAAAAAAAAAAACCACTTCATGAGCCGACTGTACCAGGAAGCACTTCATAATGAGAGTCAAACCATTACAAATTCATTAAAGGGGATAAAACAGATGTTTTACACAGTGGAATGTGACTGATGAAAACTTAGGAGTTTAATCCGACACCAGTTTGACGATGAATAACGTTGGGTGACGAGTCTGACTTCCGGGAAGAAATCCCATGCATACTGCCTGCTTAAATATTCGCTATGTCAGAACTTATTCGGTAAATGTACTTCCATCTCTGCTTTTGCGCAGTTACTCATTGCAGGATGGGGGAAATTGGTCTTGGCGGAGGTTTGCACTCTCTGAGTGCTTCTAGTCTATTAATGGTTTTAAGACTTGTTGGATGTTTAGAGTTAATGATATTTAAAATGCATAAAAACTAAATAAGATCTATACTTAACTTTGTTTCTGATCTGTGTGGTCACATCCTTGGTCTTCATGCTGTCTACTGAGTGACGACAAACTGGTGTTGATTCTGGGGACTATCAGAACATCTGGATATCTGAGATCATTTGATACTGGAATGCTCACAGGATGCCCACTAAAAACGTTTATGCTGAAGATGGAATAAAACAAAATAACCTATATGAGTAATTTATTCATAAAATTTTCACAAGTAGGCATAGGTTTTTTAAAATGTTATAGTGTGGCAGAACCTTAATCAGTTCTGTGGCTTCTGAAGAGCATGGTTGAGAGTTAAAAAAAGGGGACGTGTATGTACCACTTTTCAATTTATATATTTTTAGTTTATTTAAGACTATTTTTTTCCAATATACTTCATTCATTTGGAGTATTTTTTAGATAACTGTTATTAAGAAT